ACACGTGATGCGCTTCAACGACAACAGATGGGCGAGAGCCGTTACCGACTGGATTTCTAGGGATATCGAGCGATCTACAGGAAGCCACCGACTCGTTGGTCCGATTTCTTTACGAAAGGTATAGAAGAACAATATGATGCTCAGCGAATCCCTAGAGCGAGGAGGACCCACTCGGCTACTCTTGCACGCGATAGGAAAAAATGAACGTGTTGCTGGTACCCGCTCGACTGACTAGACGATCAGCAGGACGACAGGTTATACAGGTGAACCTACATTTTCCAATGTCGGACATTCGCCAAGCTAAATGGACCAGTCGCAGAGATAGCACGAATTCCGGCCGTTATTGGTTGAAGATATCTCAACTGGTTGCCTTCAGACGCCAGACCACTCTTCCCGTTGTCATTATTACACGTAAAAGATGGTGGTCAAGTCAGTTCTAAGACGTCGAAAATTTTGATCATAAGCTTCTGAAAGAATCTGATGATAGTACTAGGAGCCAGCAGGAAATCAACATCTTGGAAAAGTAAACTTCTCATGTTCTCTTCTTCGTGGATAGCTCAACCTTCTGTCGAAGCCGTTGAGAATCGATTCACCTCAGCAGGTGGTAGATTGGAGCATTCTTACAAAAACTAGACAAAAGAATGTGTATGAATTGAAAAAACTGGTCGTTTTCAGTACTCTCGCGGTTGACATTCCCTTTCGCCTGTACAACACTCAGCACAGGAGGACGAGCTACAACAAACTATTAAGAGGAAAACAGCTACATTTTTTGAGTAAAATTTTTATGAGCATGAGAGGCTGGCTTAAATTTGTCTGAGGTTGCCAACCAACTCTCTTAACCCGGGGTTCGAGAAATGACAGAATTTGCGCGCCTCTTTGTCACAGAGCACGTTGACGAAGTGTAATGGAAATTCACTATGGCCAAAACCCACGATTTCAGGCAGAATTAACATGAAGAGCATTCAGCGACATTCAAAAGTATTACAGCCTTCAAGTCTCTAATATGTGCCAACTTTACTCACAAAATCGATTTGCTCTAAGGATAACGGATCAGAGACAATGAATTCAATGAGATACCTCTAATGGGTAATGTCAATCGATAGGAAAAAAAAAGTAAAGCTACCAACGCTGATCAATCTCTAAAACATTTGACATGCATGAGAGTTCATTAAGCACCGTTAGAGGTGACTGAATGCACATCTGGTCCTCACAATGTCTCGCTGTGACCGACCGATGTACCAAGTCAGTGCTCTAATCCTCCCAGGCAAGTCTGGTAATAATTCAGCGATCTCGGAGGGACGGGAGGCTTAGTAAGCTTTGCGAGATCATGTCGTCAACCACGTGAGCTCTGCAGTGCACCTCTAGACACTGCTGTACGCGCGCCTCTAATATAAAATGGACAAGTGAAAGCAACGATGTAATAAATGATAACCATAGAATCATTACCTCTGACTGCCGTTTCACGAGGTGTGTTCGACTGTGTGCTATTGACTACTTTATCTTCAAAAACATATCCACGATCGTTTTCCATTATCACAACGAGATCGGAATAAAATCTATAATTTCTAAATTTTGCGGGAAACAAAAGGAAATTAATATTGAGACAAAGTTCAGAAAGCGATTTTTTCCAAGGTTGCTCATAACGCAGCCAGCCAAACGTCTCGATTAGTCCAAAACTACAGATCAACAGACCTAGGTTTCAACCCTAGTAAGCACAAACAACTTTTAACATACTCACCGGTTTTTATGAGTCGTCCACTAAATTGATCAAGTGATCGCCGATGCAGAGATCACGCAAACTGCGAATGCACCTCATTCTTCAAAATAACACTTATATATGTTGTGCCATATCACGTGTTATCAAAATGCATTCTTCTTGTGGCTCATGCTTAGATCGGTGGTGCTTATTTAAAACGCTTCTAACATTAGCCTTAATGTTTTATGCTCCTATGTGAGAACAATGACTTCTATTACGAAATCATCTCGCCTTTGGGCCCGATGAAAGCGCTAGCGGATTACTTGCTTTACAGTTACGCTTGGCGTCTTAAAGTTCTATTATGTGGATCCGCAGTGGCTTACCCCCTTCGAGAATATATTTTTTGCCGCACGCTCTAGAAGCGATTAAGTAAAGTAAATCCGTACTCATGCAATTACCGCCTTTAACGTCAAGGCAAATTCTGCACTATTCTGTTCTACAGAGACGATTATACAAGTGGTAGCACTAGCTGCTGCCATAGAGTATTCGGTGGTGTCTTAATCATTGCTACAAAATTCTCCAGTCTTGTTTTTTCAAACAGCGTTTGATAGCTACATCTATTTTTTTTTTTTTTGAAGTGAATGGCACAATAATCGAGACCACGCTCTCGCTCAAATTGTTCGCCTTCTGATCAATAACCTATTGTCGTCTGTTTATCTATATCACAACAAGAGAGTTTAAACAGATGTTCTGAATTGATGATCAAATAATTCGAGCACATATAAATCATCCGCAGGGTATCAAAAGAGAACTGGCACCCATTTCAGACTGTGGGCATGAAACTATCCGAGAACAGCTACATGTCCAAGTGGCATGAAAAGCCAAGTAAGAAAAGTTACTTGTTTCACTTTTTATTATCCATCAAATAAATATACATAATGTGGTAAAGCTCTGGCGCACCACGGAATAGAGACTCTATACCGTGGTGCCATAGTTAGCGAGCTTTAGTGTGAGCTGCTCTTTCAGCTTATTATGATATATACCAACAAGATACTTCCGGGGACTGAAGCTCACCTCTAACCCTCTCCTGAATTCAACAACGGACGCCCAATGAAACGTCACAGCAAGGCTATCCTCGGCATTACAATGAGGCATACTCAACCAGTGTTCCACGACGTTCAAAAAGACGAAAAAGGAATTAAATGCTAGAAGTACTGGGATCCTCACAATGGAACGAAACTTTGTGAAGACGGGTCAACAAAGTGCCAAAATTATCAGTTCACCTCGGTGTTTTCTATTTTCACATATTCCATGCAATTACTATAATTATCAAAATGAAACAGCAGCTGAACCTGAATAAATATTTGAACGGCCCATCTTTATGAGTTATACCGGCCTCACCATGTTTTCTGTGTTTTTTTTTTATCATGTGTTCGCCGCCTATAATGCCCTAGTTCGATCATGACGACTAATCTGAGTTCTATAACGTAATGTAAGACACCAGCAGCTGCAAATACAGCTGCTCGTCTACAGCGATGTCTTCATTCTCAAGGAGTCAGTCTACAGTTTTAATCGTTCACTTGTCTCCCAGCCATTCCGCAGCACAGCCATAATGCAATTTCTCACTGCGAGGAACCTACTTCAGCGGCTAATCGAACGCACCATTTTGTTTTCCCGAGCAGTCCTTCGATTAGTCGTCCCTGTAATTCATTCATAGAAGACATCAAAACCGAAATGGAAAATGAAAAAGGCATAAAAATTAGCCGGATGCTTCAGGACGATACGAAAACTGAAACAATTATTGTCACTCAATTTGTCAATCACTACGCTTCAGGAAAAGGTCTTTGGTAGGTATATAACAAGTCTGATAACATATTTGGAGCTTTTCATATCGAAAGGCATGTGCAACCGATGTGGCTTGAGATGAAAGCCGAAACATACGTCTAGCACTACAGGTGCCATATGAGACATCATGATAGAGTCAAAATACTTTATCAGATTATATTGTTTCAAGCGAAGTCTCAAAAACCTCCACAGTGACCTTCTCGGAGAGAACAAAAGCTGAGCAAGCAATGCATAGCACTTAATGTACATTCAGTCAATCAAAATGAACGTCTCAGCGCTATTATGTGGAAGAATGTTGAGTGATATGCAAAACGTTGAACCGCACGCGGTAGCTGATCTAGCTTATCACTCTTTCCGTTAGCGTGTGCTATCGGCTGATTCTTCGCTCCAATAGGGCCAACAAACTCACACACTGAGACACACACACACACACACACACACCACACACACACACACACACACACACACACACACACACACACACACACACACACACACACACACACACACACGCACACACACACTCACACCATGCACACACACACACCCATACATACATGTGAGCAAGATATCTTGTGCTCTTCTCAGAATAAGTCCTGCAAAAGTTGAACTCAGCAAGCGAAACGTAATCACTCTTATAAACTGGTATGTGATAGTACGGCTTTCAGCAACTGGGGACATTCAGTGGAAAACAAGAATTATGGAAAGAGTTGTATTTGAAGGTTTTTGGGCGAATGTTGTTTTCTTTCACAAGCCTTTCTCGCTGTGGTACTCGTTCTCTCTCTATTTTCATTATAACTCATGGCCAGTCAGCTTTAAGTCTTTCACGACGTGGTATGTCGTGCAATAAGAGGAGATCGTGGGGTCACCTTGCTGTGATGATGTGATAGTTCAATTAGTGCCACGAAAGGAAGTAAATTAGAGCGACTGAAATTGGTACAAGATTATGTATACTGGATGTCATTGAAAAAAACGTACGCAAAAAATCTAAAATGTTAGCTTCAAATTCCCAAGACCCACTATATACTGACATCGGCATTCTTTAATAAATCCTTGTTTTTTCTATGTCATAAAAACTATAGACAATTCATTCCATAAGTTGGCGCTCTATTGGTTTCGACCTTCAAGGCCTGCAGCGATAAGCATGCCCATAATCCTGTCAACCAGACACTTCCATCACATCAACTGAAAGAATCGTCAAACATAGATTTATCGTATCAGGAGCAAAACAACTTTCAACATACTCGCGACCTCGATGAGCCTTTCACTGCGTTGTTCAAGCAGAAATTAATCGTGTATACATTGCATGAACTGCAAATTCACCTACCTCGTCATCCCAACAGTCTTATATGTGCATCATGACAGGTATTCTCGAGAATTGCAGTATTTTCGCTCAAAAAACGACCGCGGACGGGAGTAGAACCCGCGTTTCATCAACCATCCGTGGTGGCGCAACGGTGAATCGGTGGTGTAGTGGTAGTACGCGTCCCTTGTATGGATGAAACGCGGGTTTGACTCCCGCTTGTGGTCGTGTTTCTGCTCACCACTCAATTCTCCTAGGTATATACATATATATATATATATATAAATATATGTATATATAAATATATATATATACAACAGGTTTTACAGAGAGGAATACCTCCCAGCGGTTCATGTTTCAACTGGTGGCGTTTGTGGTGTTTATTTAGAACATTTTCGAAAGCGCACGCAGTGATGCTCGATGTTACTGTGCGAGGATCGTAACATCTACTCCGAAATTATCTTTGTTATATCTTTGTGTTCTGTGAAAGCCTAGTGTGGTGCTTGGTCTATAGTTATCCTCACCATCTAGGCTTTCATTTATACGGTCACAAAGTCGGTTACCAGTATCATCAAAGTATTTTTTGTCACATGCATTGCAAGAAATTAGGTAAACTCTATCTGTGCTTGTGCAATCACCGTCGTTTCCACTGAGCGAATTCCGCTCTCTTGCAATGTACATGGACGGTCACAGAAGCCGTTGTGAAGTCCTAAAGTACTTAGTGATATCTCAATGAATGTTTTCGAATTTTCATAGGTTGCTCTTTCAAACAGAGTTCAATAGCTAAGCTCATTCTACTTAACAAGAATGGCTCGATAAGCGAGATTTCGCTCTCGCTTAAGTTTTATTTATGAGCACGTTATTTTTCCGCAACCTAACCAGAGTAGCTACATGTTCGCAGTCATTGGTAATAATTATTTCGTGAGCCAGTTTTGGTAGCTGATGCTCGGAACAGGTTTCTTACAAGTGTTTTTTGTGGGCGTGAGTGATGGAAGGGTTAATTAACAAACAAATTTCTCTTACTTGGCTTTTCATGCCACTTGGACATGTAGCTGTTCTCGGATAGTTTCATGCCCACAGTCTGAAATGGGTGCCAGTTCTCTTTTGATACCCTGCGGATGATTTATATGTGCTCGAATTATTTGATCATCAATTCAGAACATCTGTTTAAACTCTCTTGTGTGATACAGATAAACAGACGACAATAGGTTATTGATCAGAAGGCGAACAATTTGAGCGAGAGCGTGGTCTCGATTATTGTGCCATTCACTTCAAAAAAAAAAAAAAATAGATGTAGCTATCAAACGCTGTTTGAAAAAACAAGACTGGAGAATTTTGTAGCAATGATTAAGACACCATCGAATACTCTATGGCAGCAGCTAGTGCTACCACTTGTATAATCGTCTCTGTAGAACAGAATAGTGCAGAATTTGCCTTGACGTTAAAGGCGGTAATTGCATGAGTACGGATTTACTTTACTTAATCGCTTCTAGAGCGTGCGGCAAAAAATATATTCTCGAAGGGGGTAAGCCACTGCGGATCCACATAATAGAACTTTAAGACGCCAAGCGTAACTGTAAAGCAAGTAATCCGCTAGCGCTTTCATCGGGCCCAAAGGCGAGATGATTTCGTAATAGAAGTCATTGTTCTCACATAGGAGCATAAAACATTAAGGCTAATGTTAGAAGCGTTTTAAATAAGCACCACCGATCTAAGCATGAGCCACAAGAAGAATGCATTTTGATAACACGTGATATGGCACAACATATATAAGTGTTATTTTGAAGAATGAGGTGCATTCGCAGTTTGCGTGATCTCTGCATCGGCGATCACTTGATCAATTTAGTGGACGACTCATAAAAACCGGTGAGTATGTTAAAAGTTGTTTGTGCTTACTAGGGTTGAAACCTAGGTCTGTTGATCTGTAGTTTTGGACTAATCGAGACGTTTGGCTGGCTGCGTTATGAGCAACCTTGGAAAAAATCGCTTTCTGAACTTTGTCTCAATATTAATTTCCTTTTGTTTCCCGCAAAATTTAGAAATTATAGATTTTATTCCGATCTCGTTGTGATAATGGAAAACGATCGTGGATATGTTTTTGAAGATAAAGTAGTCAATAGCACACAGTCGAACACACCTCGTGAAACGGCAGTCAGAGGTAATGATTCTATGGTTATCATTTATTACATCGTTGCTTTCACTTGTCCATTTTATATTAGAGGCGCGCGTACAGCAGTGTCTAGAGGTGCACTGCAGAGCTCACGTGGTTGACGACATGATCTCGCAAAGCTTACTAAGCCTCCCGTCCCTCCGAGATCGCTGAATTATTACCAGACTTGCCTGGGAGGATTAGAGCACTGACTTGGTACATCGGTCGGTCACAGCGAGACATTGTGAGGACCAGATGTGCATTCAGTCACCTCTAACGGTGCTTAATGAACTCTCATGCATGTCAAATGTTTTAGAGATTGATCAGCGTTGGTAGCTTTACTTTTTTTTTCCTATCGATTGACATTACCCATTAGAGGTATCTCATTGAATTCATTGTCTCTGATCCGTTATCCTTAGAGCAAATCGATTTTGTGAGTAAAGTTGGCACATATTAGAGACTTGAAGGCTGTAATACTTTTGAATGTCGCTGAATGCTCTTCATGTTAATTCTGCCTGAAATCGTGGGTTTTGGCCATAGTGAATTTCCATTACACTTCGTCAACGTGCTCTGTGACAAAGAGGCACGCAAATTCTGTCATTTCTCGAACCCCGGGTTAAGAGAGTTGGTTGGCAACCTCAGACAAATTTAAGCCAGCCTCTCATGCTCATAAAAATTTTACTCAAAAAATGTAGCTGTTTTCCTCTTAACAGTTTGTTGTAGCTCGTCCTCCTGTGCTGAGTGTTGTACAGGCGAAAGGGAATGTCAAGCGCGAGAGTACTGAAAACGACCAGTTTTTTCAATTCATACACATTCTTTTGTCTAGTTTTTGTAAGAATGCTCCAATCTACCACCTGCTGAGGTGAATCGATTCTCAACGGCTTCGACAGAAGGTTGAGCTATCCACGAAGAAGAGAGCATGAGAAGTTTACTTTTCCAAGATGTTGATTTCCTGCTGGCTCCTAGTACTATCATCAGATTCTTTCAGAAGCTTATGATCAAAATTTTTGACATCTTAGAACTGACTTGACCACCATCTTTTACGTGTAATAATGACAACGGGAAGAGTGGTCTGGCGTCTGAAGGCAACCAGTTGAGATATCTTCAACCAATAACGGCCGGAATTCGTGCTATCTCTGCGACTGGTCCATTTAGCTTGGCGAATGTCCGACATTGGAAAATGTAGGTTCACCTGTATAACCTGTCGTCCTGCTGATCGTCTAGTCAGTCGAGCGGGTACCAGCAACACGTTCATTTTTTCCTATCGCGTGCAAGAGTAGCCGAGTGGGTCCTCCTCGCTCTAGGGATTCGCTGAGCATCATATTGTTCTTCTATACCTTTCGTAAAGAAATCGGACCAACGAGTCGGTGGCTTCCTGTAGATCGCTCGATATCCCTAGAAATCCAGTCGGTAACGGCTCTCGCCCATCTGTTGTCGTTGAAGCGCATCACGTGTTCGGTTCACCTTATTTTGGATAACTTGGCGTTTGAAACGGCGTCTGTGATTTTCGATCGTTGACGTAGGTCAAAACTTCAAATCCTTCCTCTCTTTGCGAGATGCGGGATACCCCTAGCATCGACCTTTCGACTGCGTGTTCAACAGCGTCAAGTGATCTATTATCCTGCTTTCGTAGCGACCAGGTTTTTGCGGCACACATAGGGGCAGGAATAATCGTCGCGTTGAAAAGGTGGGCACGGAGTCGGATGCTGTTTGTCCTCTTCACTACATATTCGATGCTCTTAAACGTTCCCCAAGCCGCTCGTTTTCTGCTGTTCAACTCTGGAGCTAGGTCGTTAATCATGTTGATTTCACGATCTAGATAGACGTAACTGAAGCATTCGGAGAATTTCGTTTCGCTGAGCGTAAATGGGGCATTCAAATCCCATCAGTACCTCATTAACATCGTTTTTGTTAGATTTAGTAGAAGACCAGTCTTTCTATAGGCGTTGCCGAAATCGGTCAACATTCGTTCCGTTTGGCAGATGCTTGGCGTTATGAGGACGATATCATTAGCAAAGCAAAGATGGTTTAATTGCAGACCTTCAATTTTCACTCTCATGTCGTCCCATTCTAATGCTCGCGTGACATTTGAAGGGAGACAGTGAATAATTTTGGCGGAATTGTATCGCCTTGTCGAATCCACCTTCTTACGTCGATGGTGATATTGTTGTAGAATGGAGATATTTTGGTTGTGAAATCTTTATAAAGCTCACTAACGATCATTATGTACCGAGCAGGAACGCCCTGGCTATCCAGAGCCTCTATAACCGCTTCTGTTTCCACTGTATCAAAGGCTCTTGTCAGATCGATGAAAGTGAGACAAAATGGTTGTTTGTACTCTCGTGAAACTTCAATGAGTCTTGTGATGGTGTGGACGTGGTCTACGGTACTAGACCCTTTTCGTTTTTCGACTTGTTCGCAAAGTTGTCCTTCGCCCAGTGTTTTGTCAGGCCTGTTCAGGATGACTCGAGTGAAGTGTTTATAGACGACGGACAGCAGGCAGATTCGGGCTATAGTTGCCTATGTCGTGAAAGTCTCCCTTCTTGAACAACAATGCGATCCCGCTAGTTTTCATTGAATGGGAACCTTGCATTCTGACAGGTAGCGAGTGAAGAGCCGAGCCAGAGTGTTGATGAGAACTGGAGGTAGGTTCTTTAGGTGTTCTGGTCTAATCCTGTTTGGACCAAGTGTTGTTCAGTTCTTCACCGACGATATAACATGTAGGATTTCAGAAAGGAGGACTAGTGGAACAACATATTTATCCTCTTTTAATTTATATGACGGTAAGAGGAGATGGCTAGCGAAGTAGCGAAGAGATTCGAGTAGTACTGGTGAATGATTTTCTCTATTGCCATCCTGGAAGCTGTAAGTGTACCGTCAGGGCACCGGAGTGCAATCATCTTGGTCTTATACTTCGCGATGCCTCGCTGAGCTTTGCGAATGCTCTTCCCAGCTTCTGCAGCTTCTGCCATAACTGCTGCTCGTCCCTCTTTGAGGTCTTCTCTTATCACTTCTCTGCATCGCTTCGCAAGATCGGACGAAAAGTTTCGGTTGCCTGTAGCTCGTGCGATTCCATGTTGACGTAT